CGAAACCGGAAGAAAAGTCAGTTCATGAAGAACGCTTTTTGCGAGGATCAGGAAATGGAATTAGAAGGCTCTTCAATCACGGAAACGTCCTCTTACGTATATCTCGGGTGAACATGGAGAACGATCTAAAAGAAGAACTAAACAGGAGGCAAAGAGCAGCTTGAGCCGCCTTCGAGCCCCTAAAGGAAGCCACAGATTAGCTGACGGGCCCAGAGCTCCGAGTCTACCTGTTCGATTCAACTGTTCTCCCTGCGCTCTGCTACACAGCAGAGAGGCGACCTGACACTGTGGCCACGTCAAAGGCTCTCCAGGCAACCCACAGAGTGCTGGAACAATGTCTTCTGAAATACAACCGATGCACACAACATCTCGCCGGACTTTGCAGTTCAGATATGAGATCAATGCCTCGTCTTCGCGATCCAGCAGAACGTCTCTAAGGCAAAGCATCGAAGGGCTGGTCATATAATGAGAAGGACAGACGACAGACGGAAACTGAGAACTCTGGGATTCCTCGGGAAGCAAACGTTTTCGAGGGAGGCTACCGACCAGATGGGCTGACATGTTTGTTGCACGGATGGACAAGCTGATCCCAGCTGGTAACGAAATGGATCTGGCTTGAACGTCGCCGCCGCAGTTCAATACCAACATTGTGGATGACGCTAGCGAGAGACAGAAACGGATGGGAACAGTGCTGTGGCCTGCACGAAAGTGAAGACAGGCCATCGAAGTATCTGAGTATCGTATCTAATCATCATATTGTTAGTATTATGAGGATAACATGCACTTACAATCCAAAGCAATTGTGGCATTTGTTCGCCACATCATGGTCCAGTTTTTTTTTGGCCTACAAAGCTCTGTCACGGTGTTTGGATGATTACTTAGCAATGGGCCAGAACAACCAATTCACTTAATGCAAATTATTGATGCAGCTATGTTATATGTAGAATTAGCTTTTTCCGTGGTGCAGGCGGTACAAGTAAGGCATCCAATGTTCAATATGTTTTTGGTCACAATAGCAACAGCTTTCAAACGCATCAAGTACCTGGATGTTGGCAGATGGACTCTGAAAAATAATTTTTATTGATTCCTCCAAAGCACTTCCATAGCATCGTTTTTGTGTAAGATTGGAAGACCATGAAGCCCTAGGTCATATATCTACTGCCTTGTTCAGTTATGGCCTCATTGTAAATTACTTGTTTACTCGACTACTTAGAGGGAGATGTCTTGGCAAACTTGACCATTACCTGAACCTTACTTTTGAATGTTGTTTCCATAGTGCTCCTAGGCTTTGAGCATCCGTACCCGGCATATCATCGTTGTCATGGTGACAAGGTTCTCTTCCGTAATTGCGTACTCACACGCCACTTTGCAAAGTACGTCAGTGTTCTTCTTTTTACCTTCATTTTGCAAGATATGCTATACAGATAAACAAGATCAGAAAACCATGATGGCATAATATAACAGTTTGAAGTAGGACTTTTGTAACAAAAAAGATTTCCCATTTTAAAAAAAAAACTCACCTTTCAGAAAGAAACTTATGAAGGATTTTTATGCATAGGTACACACTTGCATCTTTTTGAAAAAATAAATTATCTCAGCATATAAAAGTGGTGGAGATGTCGAGAAAAAAAAATATTAAGTGCGTGCAAAGGAAACGCAGATTTTTCCATCTCAAATTTAAATTGTTATAACTTACAACTTTTTATTCAGCACGATGTTCGGTGTCAGCGATCTTTGTTGTGATGGTTAAATGACAAGCCCGGGAACCCAAAATTTGGCTGTGGAATACTTTGTGAAAGGCTACAATCTACTAGAAGACAAGTGTAGAAGTGTGCTCGCCTACGTAAAATGAAAAAAAGAGAAATCAAAACAGAAGAAGAAGCAAACTGGAAACACTTTGGAAAATCCTTCCCCTCAGCACGCAATTTCGTCGCATCGCTCTGACTGAACGAGCAACGCGATTGCCTATACCTTGAAATGCGATGACTTTATTGCGTAAGCTTTGCTCTGGCAAAAGAACGGTCGCATTTGGTTTGCGCCCCGACTAACCAAAGCGCAGCACAAGTCGTATAGTTAAGAGGAGCGCGTAACGAGTTTGTAGCAGTTTTCACCCTAACCAAATCGCGTGGCACGAAATCGCATCAGGCATACCCAAGAGCTATAGACAGTGTCCGTGCAAATGAGTCTAAATTCTCGTTTTTTCTGAACCATTTCGGTGTCGTGGACACGAATCTTAACTTCATAGAATTTTGGGCCTTTTCTTTGCACGAGAACGAGTAGTAGAAAGGACTCCAAAGGATTTCCGACATCCGATTCCAAAATGATCGCATGTTTTCCTCGCTAGAGAACGCTTTACTAGAGAGAGGTGCACGGGAATGCTTAGGAGAAAATCGTTGAAACTGTGACCTAAACAAAGGTCATTTTTTCACTTGCCACGGCTCCGCAGCACAACATGGTCATTCGCTTGAATTGGGGTCTAGCCTATTCAGAGAGTCGACCATCATTGTCCATTTAAAGTAAAATCCTTGATTTTGCCTGGATTCTGCTTCAAAAGGAACATCAAGGCAAGCTGTTTTGTTAATAGAATACTACTGGTGTAACTGGTTTAAATATTACTAACGGGAAGGATGCTTAGTGGCCGTG